TTCACACCTATTTTGATGTACAGATGTATTCAATAAATTAATATAAGCAGCTTTATTTCAAGATGGATTTTGGCCTAATGAAGGCAGTATGAGTTTTTTTTTTTTTTTTATTTGCCCTTTGCATATTTGAGCAAGAACAATAGTCCAAACAACTCTTGGAATGATAATGACTAATCTCAAAATTACTAAAGTTTAGGTCATGTTTTACTTATCTTTAAAAAAAAAAAAATGCAATAAATGGTGCACCACAGCCAATGCTGACATTAACCAGAAGGGGAAGGGAAAGATTTAAGGAGTAGGCAATCAGCAGTAAAATTAATAAGTTTATTTTAAAAATCTAATTAAATTATTTGGGTCGGGGATGAGTGACTGTAAATGTCACATTTCATAAAGCAAGTAATGCATTAACCAAAGCCAAATGGATTTTATGTTTTCCAAGCTAAGTGTATTTTTAGGAGGGAGGGGCAGAGTGGGGAAGGGAAGAAAGTATGTACCGGATTGGATGGCAGAATGAATTAATTTGGATGGATAAATGAATGGATGGAAAGAAAAAAAGTTTTTGTTTTTTTAAATTCTTGTCATCAACATCATCTTTTAATACCAAGCTCCAGTTTTGACATTTTACCAAGTGTAATATTGCAGATTTTAGAAGTACACAAATGAGCTGATCCCAACAAGGTAAAGGTCACTAAAATCTTGTTTCAGGTCCAGTTGATCAGTCTTTGGCTCATCTGGTAAATTTTGAGTCATTCCACCTGCTCTTAGTTCTATGTAAAGATTGTTTTGTATGTGTGTAAGTCAGCCATTCATTATCACATAGAAACAAACACACACACACACAGCATTTCTAGTAACAGTAGCAAAGATGCCACACACAGACATATTTTTAATGCAGCAACATTTATTATTTACAAAATTACGGAGACATGAGGGTGCAGGGGGATGTAATAAATTCTTAATATACAGATCTGTTATTGTCAGAATAAATTGTACAAACATTGTTGTCTTGCTTTTGGTACAGGAGCAACAGAAACAACAGTCACTGAAGAGGGAAAATTAAGAGAAATGACCTGCACAGTCAGAATTTTATAACTGAAAATAATTACCAAATGAAGGGGGATCAAGGTAAAGTTTATTTTAGTCACTTAATTTATATGCAATAATATATAAATACTTATTTAGTGTGGCATATGGATAATGCAACCACCTTGATTGTAAATCAATTATTGGTTATGGAAAGCAGATTACCATGCTGAAAAGGATTTCTCTTCACCACCATCTCTCCTTTTGTGATTCGTCTGTTCTCTTAAAAACAAAAATATAGTGTAACATTGCAATAACTGATTATACCATATAGCTGCTATTTGCTTGTAATCATTGCCATTTTATTTGCAGTAAGTAAAATAAATTGGCTATATTTTGGGGTAAAACTTGGAGCCTCAGGTCTAGACAGAGCCACTGAAGAAAACCAGTTACTTTAATGTATGATTTACTTGGTCTCTAAATGACTATCAAATGACACTTTGTTAGATCTACTAGAGCAATTAAAAGCCCAGTATTACAACATCACAAAAGATTTAATTAAGACGGAGAAAGACTCTGAATTGGCAAGCTGAGATGCTACAGTGCAAAGGTTGGAAGCATAATTGACTAAATATTATACAAATGCTGTTACATAGCAACACCTACATCCTTGAAGAGACATATGAACAGGAGATGGAGTGGCAGAATAACCTGAGTTAAGATTAGCAGTCAAGTGAGCAAGAGGAAAATTGGTTGGAAATGCATTAAGGAACATGGGTAATTTCAAGACAAACTGACCAGGGAAGTGCCAAATAGAGCTGCTACCCTAAAGATGCATTGATATTTATCCATTATCTGAAATGTCTTATGTTGCTTGCACCAAAGGAAAAGAAAAGTTTAACCTTTGTACTTACAAACATAAAAAAACAGTGTATCAAAAGAATGGGATTTCTCTTGATACCACTAGTATTATATAATCCTTCAACAATGTTCCAAGGATGCCTAAGCAATAGAAAAATTCAAGGCCTGGAACTCTTGGTATTTTTGAAAAACATAATTTGGAAAAAAAAATTTTAAGTTGTTGCTATTTTTGAAAAAAAGCTGTGTGAAACATGCCTAGAAAATTTTCAGATAGGTTATTGTCAGTCAAGTATTGACTAATGAAGATATCTTAAAACTGGGCACCTTAACCAAAGCAACAATCTAATAACTAAATAGTGTTTAAACATTACTGCTGCTATTAAAATTCTAAAAATAGCATATTAAAACAAACATTGCTGAGGGACTATACAGTAATAGCAGTATTAAGAGAAAAATTGCTCTTTTGACATACTTTTTGCAGGGGGTTCAGGTAGTTAAACATTGCTGAAAAATAATTACAATCCAGAGATGGGGAAAGAATAGATCAGAACTACATGGGGACAGTATCAAAAATTACTTGGGAGTAGAGTAATACCCAATAGGAAATGTATTAACTGTAGTTTACAATATTGAAGAGCAGAAGACACTAGCAAAAGAAATAAGGCATAGTATTTTGATTTTTAGCTAAGAACAAACTGTGAAGCTGTCCAGGCTATGAGAACAATGTCAGCCAAATTACAGGAGCATGGTAATGGCACTAGAGCAAGAAAAAATACAACAGATTTTCATGGCAGCACTTCTCCTGGCCACACAAAACAACCATATACTTGGCCTTTAGAGATTCCATAACCCCCTCCTCACAAGTGGGGGGAAAAAAAAACTATTTCTAGCCTGAGGTAAGTGTACAAACTACAGATAGTTGGACCTTTGAGGTACTTTGGTGAGAAATTTCCTAAACATAAATGAAAGTACACAGAATTTACCACTCTTTAAAGTGGCAAGCCTAACAATCAATTGGAGAGAAGCAAAGGAGGTGACAAAAGTTTAATACTTTCCTTAATATTGGTACAACTGGACAAGAGGGAAAGCATTGCTCATATACCTGCCGGAGAGACTACCAAGTAATTGGAGCAGCTTAGTTCTCAGAGGCCTATCTGTAAAAATTTCCATAATTAGCCACTTACCCATTATCTAACACTGAAGAAAATACAAGGCATCACCAATTTTAAAATTAGGAACATTTAAAGTGGAATGAAATCCATGTCCTGCAATAACCAGGAATTTACTTTTAAAACTAATGAAAAATTAAGTTGAGTTCTACTCATCTGAGTTTTAGATTAGGAAATTGGTTGTTTTAATTTAATATTCATAATGCTACATGTAAATGATTATTTCTACAAATTTCTTGCCAAGTATCCTTTTCTTGAATTCAAACAACAAATGTTCCCTTTATATCAATGCAAACTTCTTTTTTGTCATAGTTTCCAACAATCAAAAGTAAAATTAGTTAAAAAAAAAAAAAAAATTATAGTTTCATCAGATTATTTAAAATAATTATATTTAATTTACATTAGTAGATTTTCTTTAGAAAATAATGTTGATGTTTTGTTACATCCTAATGTTTAACACAAACTTAAGTAACTATCTTGCATATCTTTCAATATAACTGTCCTAATTTGTTACAAACTTTTTGGCTAAAGCAAAGGTTCACATGTTTCAATGATAATTCCTTCAAAATTAATTTCAAGGATAAAAATAAATGAAAAGAGGCTTCTGTCAATGGCTGGTAAACCCAGAAGGACTGAATAGACCAGTGGCTGTGAAGTGGGGAAGAAAAGGAATAGATTACTGAAAAACTGTTGTTAGATGTGATATCTCCCGTTCCAGGGCTGTGCAAGAACTAACATCACTGTCACAAAGAAACAAATGAATATTTGGAATCAGCAGTTTTATCACAACATCATGGGAAAAATAGAAACATTTCTTTTGTTAGCATTTGAAACCCAGAAGCAGGATTTGCAAAAACACCACCACACTCACACATGCATCATTTGGATGTTATGCACCTTGTAGTAGTAGAAAAATGGTTTGATAGCAGCAGTATAAGTGGCCGTTAACAATTTGAGGGAGAAGAAAATTTTTTTTTTTCCACTTTTATTTGGGTGGGAGTGAATCCTGTCACAAACTTTTGTGTCAATTGATAATTTGACAAATGTTAGATGTACAAGAGAACAGAAGTGACTGAGGAATATAGAATGGCATAGACCGTCTGGTATTGTAGATTTTACAAATACACAAATAATTCTAACCACAACAGGTATAAGGCTTTTAAAAAGACGTGCCCAATATCTAAATGGCTTTCTCTAGGAGTTGACTAATCATTTTCTTTCAACTCCAGAGATAGGATAATGATATTGTATTTAGTGAACAAGCTGGTCTCTTTATTGCCTTGGAAGGTAAGAGAATTTCTTTTTTATACCTACGTATTTTTTTTTTTTTGTAGATTGTATGCATGATTTCATGTTTGAGTGATAGTGTAGGTAAAAAATAAAAATGGGTTTGTTCCCCTACCATTTTCTTTCACTTCTCTGACTCAGTAATTCAATTTAACATCATCTACATAATACCCCAGCAAATTAATGTTTCTCTTTTGTTTTGTCATAAATGGTACTGAAAACAAGTATTCAGATTTGTTTGCTGGCTTTTAAGTTTTGCAACCTAAGCAGAGGGTTAAAAATAGAGAGTAAAGATATCACTGTTTCTTTCATTCTTTCTTTTCCTCTTTGGTCATGCAAGATCTTGAGTTTTAGCCAGGTAAAAAAATGTTCAGACCCTAACCCTCACGGCAAGCCCAAACACTAGACTTGTACAACCTCTCACCACTCTGATTAAAGTGGACAAGTGCACAAAATTCGAGGAGGGAGTGACCACTCATCTACCAACAGAACCAAAATGATATACACTAGTCCCATTCAAGTCACTTGTTTTTTTTTGTTTTTATTTTTTTTTTTTGTAGTACTTTGGTTTCATCATCAACAACACAATGTATGAAGATATGGAAGTTGGTTGTTAGTTCAAAATTCGATGACAATGTCTCACATTGTCCACTGTTTTACCTAGGAAGCTGGGCGGCTGTTTTCAGCAGGTGTGCTTGACCGTGAACCTGAATGTGGAGAGTGTGCAGAGGCGACTGAATGATTAGGACTGGGGGACGGTTGTGGAGTCAGTATGGGTGTATCTTGAGGTGGCATCCGAGGAGCTGTGGCTGTTGGTGGGGGAGGTGGACCACTAGACCTTTGTGAAAGTTGTGGTTGCGAGGCAGATGTAGATGAACTAGATGAAGGAGAAGAGGGTCTTACAGATGACAGCTGAGGGGTAGCGATTTGAGGTTTGCTCTCACGAGCATCATTACCAGCAGAGGCTGTAGATGCAACAGGGTTCTTCCCACATACATGATGGTGATGTTCCCAATCCTTGTGCTGACAGAAAGACCCGCAATATCGTGCAGTGTTGCAGCCACTGCATGTTTCACTGGCTTTACGTCCGCAGTTCCAACAACTCTGTAAGCAAAAGAAAAGACAATAGTCATCAAAATGTGAAAAAAAATTATTAGTTCTTATATGAAAATATAAGCTTTATAAGAAGAGTAGAAACATTTTTAAATGACTTCATGAAAACAACATTGGTTGTACAAGAGGGCGGTGGAGAGAAGCCTTTTCTGGCAGGGGAGTCAAATCATTTTATCACAGTATTGTAAGGTACTGTTGGAGGTACCCTAGAACCCTGGCTGACACCAGAGCCATCATCATTTGATGAAGGCTTTGTTGGTAGAATGGGTACTGTTTCTACAACCACATATGTATGAAATTATATTATTTGTGCTGGGAGGGGGGACAAAAATATTTAAGTTATACAATTAGAAAATTACTGTCCAATTTTGTTTATCTGGGAGTTAAAAAATAATTTAAGACATCAATTATGATGTTTTATTTATCAAATTTAACAGTAATCTTCAAAATAGAAATGCACAATTCGATACAGTGTATTTGTGTTTAAATTGTCTAAGTCAATGTTTTCATTATTAGCAATTATTAAAATCTTTATGATAATATACAATGGGAATTTCAACTTATTTTATTATGCAACTTGATGGTTGTTCATCATATTGTAAATAAATATTCACAGAATAGAATATATAGAATAGTTTAATTTCAGTTCAATAAAGATTGTTGTTAGAAAGATATAACCTCAAGGAGAAACAAGATATTTCAAAAGTTGAAGAGAAATTGGAGTGCAATCCAAAAGAATCATTGGTGAAAAAAAAAAAAAAAGAGAGAGAAAGATTTGAGAAAAACGGGGTTTCACCAGCAAGAAAATATTTGAAGCTGATGTGAATGTAAATAGAAAAGATGCAGAATATTAAGAACACTGGCTAAAAACATCAAAGCAACCAAATTACAACCTTTAAATAAACATCACAAAGAGAAATGTTTAAATAACAGTAATTTGTAGTGATGAAGTTAGAGCTACATTGGATGGGATGAAATAGGCAATCATTTAGAAAACTGAGGAAAGGTGAAGTAATGTTTTGGGAAAGTAATATAGGTAATAAAATTAGGTCCTTTCGAAGATTATGACTGGTACATGTTATAACCAATAAGTTTTAAGCTAAAGAGTATATAAACACATTTGGCACAAATGACTGTTGCCCACCTTGCCAAGAAAAAAAGTTTCAATGACACCAAACTCATTGAATTGCCTGCATCCTCTCCAGATATTCCAACAGAAAAAAAAAACAAAATGCTTGTGATCCATCATTTATAGAGATGAATATGAGAATATTCAAGCCAAAAAAGATCTCTGGGAAATAATAAAAACTGCACATAATTTCAAAGTCAAAACCATAGAAAAGTTAATAAAATCAATGAATAAAAAAAACTGAAGATTATAGAATGCCAATGTGTCCATATTAACATGTAAAATAATTTATTCCAACATATAGGACATTATGCATTTTGATGGCCTATATTTAGGGTATTTATTTGAAAATAACAATTTCTGAAACCTGCAAAACAAGATTTTACCAATATTTATAATGAGGTTAGATACTATAAGATGATTTTCACATGATATATTGCTCATAATATTCTGAAAATTCATCAACATTGGTTGGTAAATATTAATTTTGTTGTGAAAACATTGACTTATATACATACTATGTAAGATTTAATTACATAACACACACAATTGTTTGAATACAAGTAAAAAAATTAAGAAACTTAAACCCAGACATTGGAAAGTATACAAAACAAATTTCATTAAATTTGAAATCTGACCCCTGGAGGTAACAATTGCCACTTAAATTCAGAATTATGAAAAAGAAAAAAAAATGTTAACTTATTTGTTAATTTCAACAATTCAAAACTAATAATAAAGTAATTTCAATCAAAGAAATAGTATTTAAAATGACAAAGTTATCAGTTATTTGGCAGGTTTTTTTTTATTGTAAATCAAGACAGATTTGAAGCAGAACTGACCTTAAAAAGTAAACTGGTTGATGAAATGTCTCTTATGTATGTATGTATGTATATGTGTGTGTGTGTACACACAGGCAGAATAATGTGCAAGATACTGCATGCAGAAGAGTGCAATTTGTTGCTAGTGGTATAAATGGAGAAGAAGCAATTTTTTAAATAGACTGAGGTCAGATAATAAAATCTGCAGAGTTTTTTGGTAGTTGCTTTTTAAAGTTAAAATTATTATTATGAATAATTCTAATAATGTTTAAAATGGGAACTGAATTTTTTAAAACAGGTTTTTGTGTTCATGCATATGTATTGAAGTTAGTAAATGCAGAACAAACTATCTAAAGCTTTGCTTTTGAAGCAACTAGAAAACACTCTTATCACTCAACATTTAACAGGTAAAATTCAGATGAGCGATTAATATTCTTTCAAGTGCAGATTTTACAAGATATTCATAAATAAGATATAAAAAGCTGTTACTCTAAAAGGAAAATAAATTTGATGAATCATTTGTAGACACTTTTTAAAAATCCCAATTTAAACAGCTGATAGCCTTTCAATTCAAATTAAAACTCTGAACCTCTTCAGTCATAGCAATTGTAATATAATAATTTTCAGGGAGTGGCTGGTAATGACAATTACATTGTCATAAGTATACTAAGTGCTGCCATTTTAGTTTTAATTAAAATCTGCATTCAAATAAAATGTTTCAGGTGAAAAACAATTTGTATGCTATTTTTTTCTTTTCATCTGCAAATGTTTTCTGGAATTTTGAACTTCAACAAATGTTGAGTACCTTTAAACTTTTTGCATATTTGTGACAGTGAATTCAGGAGATTGCACAGATTTGGGGAGATATAGAGAAAAAGGACATTGTTAATTTGGAAAACTAATCCCAATAATTGATTAACAATGAAAGGGAGGAGGAGGAGAATGACACTAGCTTAATTGTGTTGGGATTGTTTTTCTCCAGCAACTGTAGTCCTATTTTGTTAGGTGGCCAGAGTCAGAAGACGTAGGAAGAACCTTCACGTCTTGTACCTCACTTGAATCCTCTTGATGGTTGATTGATGACAAAACTTCATCATGAGCCTGCTTTCGGGCTTCTGCCAGGGCACGGTCCATCTTCTGTCTCTCGTTGGCCACTAGTTCGTTGGCCTTTTGTTCTACAGCAGACACTGCTTTTTGTAATTCCAGCATGGCCTGTCGTTTCACTTCAGTCACAGCTTCCTCTGAAAACAGCAATAAAAACAAAAGTTTAAAACTAAGTAGTCATACAGGAAAAAAAGAAGTACAAGAGAAAAAATTAATTAATGGCAGACAGGGCAGAACATTAAGAATTACCTTCAGCATGTCGTCGCATCCATAGAGACAATTCTTCACGGTCACGGATGCTTCGTTCTTGTAACACAGACAGTGCTCGCTTTGTTTTGTTCACCATTCCAATAATACAATGTAACATCTGAAGAGAGAGAGAGAGAGAGAAAACTTGATTAATTAAATTCAGGATAACTAATTTGGTACTAATTAATATTTTACACACAGCAAAAATTCAAGTGTGAAGAAAAAACTTTGTACTAGGATTGAATATGGAGTAAAGATTATAGTGAATATTTTGATATAAAATCTCTAAAATATGAAAATTTCTTTTCAACTGTTGAGTTATATATTAAATTTGCAGTTGTTATAAACATTATTTGGTGGTCATGTTAATTATTTAGCAAGATCAAATAGAAGGAAAGAAAGCTAGAAAGTTTGTGTGATGTGAAACCTAAGGGTAAGGAGGGTTTATCTGCTGTTAAAATAAATAAAAGCCCTGGCTTTCATCAGGTGGTGAACACAGACCATTAATACAAATCCAAAATATGCAACTATTCAGCCACACAAGAAAAACAACAAACTTATCTCATAATAAAAGTTCTTTTCCACTAATGTCTCTTATATCTACTCCCCTTTTTTTTCTTTTTCCTTTTCTATTTCTTTTTATAAGCGTCTCCTTTTGAGGTCTTTTCTTACTTCCTCTCTTTCCTCGGTGTAGCAGCATTCTCGTTTGAGGTGGTCTTTTCTTTATTTTTTTTCCCCTTTTGTCCCTTATTTAGGGGCTTGGGTGATGATTAAGTTGAAAATGCTGTCTTTCTCTCTCTCCTTCATCTCAATGTAGCATCATTCTCCTTTGAGATCTTTTCTTGCTTTCTTCTCTTTTTCTATTAGCGACTGGTCTTGGGACTTGGGTGACAGAGAAATCGAAAATGTCTTCTATCTCTCCTTTGTCCCGATGTGGCGGCATTCTGCATACTTCATAGTTTATTTCCCAAAATTCAACGTTTCTTTGCGTTCTACGTGCTTGCGTTTAGTCATCTGTTCGAGGTTCATCTATTCTATTTGAAGATGAATTCTCTTATCTCGTATTTTCACAAACACATCTGCCCGGCCCTAAGGCCTGGACAAGACTGACTTTTTCGTTTCAACATTCGTTTCCTTTTTTTTTCTTATCACGTGATCAATTTTCAAATATGAACTTTTTCCCATTGTGGGTGAAATGAGGTCATTGACCTCCTCTCTCAACTGCAGGTTCAGAGAAAGTTTAGGTTAAAGTGTTTCAACTTTTCCTATCTGAAATCTATCCGTGTAAATCATGCTGTCAACATGTTGACCAAAAGAGAAAGAAGCGGTACATTCTGGTTAGTCTTTGTCACCACTAAGTCTACCTATCTCTTTGAGCTTACTATCTTTATGTTTCTGCAAAAACTGGGCTCTTTATTTTAGAGTGCTTCTAAAATATAAACAATGATATAGTTTTTATAATAAATTAAGGTGGGATATTCATATATATATATATATATATATACACACACTGAACATAGATTTTTTTTTTTTTTTTTTTTTTTTGTTTATATGTTAAGTGAAAATGAAGGAAATTGAGATGCATTTGCTGCTCTTTTTTTCTAGAAAGGAAATACCTTTTGCTGTTTTTGCAGTGTTATGTGCCATAACTGAGAGTACTGTCCATAAGTAATTCACTAGTTTCAGAAGTAAAACAAAGAATGTTCCTGCAGTTGTTGTTGTTAACCAAATCAAAATGCTGATTTAAAATAATCTAGGTTAAATGTAAATTGCTTATATGAGGGTTGTAAGGCATTTGAAAACTTTGATATACACCATACAATTTAACAAAAACAAAATCTAATTAACCACATGTCCATCTGTAATTCTCTGCTTAAATGCAACAAAAACAGTCCATTTTCTTATTGCCTGTGATATATGCCTTTTACAAAAATGTGATGTAAAAACATCTTTGAGAAAACAAAATTAACTATCATTAGTTAACTCCTTCAAGAGCCTGTCTGTATTCAAAGGAGGTGATGCTGTGTATTACAAAAACATATTTGAAAATCAAACAAATAATGTACCCAATTGGTCTAAATACAGCAACTGATGAAAAATATCCAGAATTGGGCAATTGGAAAGGTGTTTTCCCCTAAGGACAATGCCAGACTTCAGGTCTCTTTGCAGAAATTTGTGCAGCTTGGCTTGTACCTTCAGAATACAACTTACTTTGATCCTGACAAACACAATTCTCTTGAGAGCAAGAACATTAATTTTCTAATTTTGTAAAACTATTTAGACCAGTTCATCACCCAGAAAAATCCAAAGTTCTTAGAGAATGGATCTATGCAGTTACTACAAAGACAGCAAAAGGTAGTGGAACAAAATGGCACATATATGGTTGAATTAAGTGATGTACAAATATTTAGTCTTTGAAATTCATTTAAAAATGCTACAAACTTTTGTTCTAAACTAATACTTAAATTAAGCTATAAAACTTGTGCCCAATCATCTCATACAGATTTCCAGAATCTATATATCTGCCTGCTTAGAAAATTAGCATTTGAATTGAAACTCTTTTCTCCAATCCAATAATAGTGGAAATACATAATTACATCTGCCAAAAGTCAGACATTTCCAGCCTCCCTTTTAAATTCTAAAACCTTATGAATCAGATTCAATGAAATATTTTTATATTTTAAAACTACCAACATTTTTGACATTGAAGTTAGTTTTCAATTGGATCAAAGTTCAATGATCAAAACTCATGAGAAGGCTGGCAGTGGGCTGAAAGTATATTTGTTAAAGGCCAATGGTAGAAACACTGTACTGCAAACAAGTGTTACTTTAATGCAAACATTCATGAAACTTACTGTTTCAACATGTTTCCAATTGTCATCTAAGCGATCAAATGGAGGTTCAAATGGGTCATTTCTGGAAAAACCTGTAAAATAAATGTAAGAGTTAATGCATTTATTTTCTTTCACACCTAATCTTTTCTAGAATTAAAGTTACAAAGGTATTCTAGATTTTGCAAGAATGAGAGGGAAGAAAAAAAATTCAATTACTTTTTACAGAGATGTAAAATTAAAAATAAAATGATAAGTTTTGAGACACTTCCATAAACCAAAAGAGAGTCAACAATCAAATTTATTTTCACTGAAAAGACGAAGTAAAGAAACAGATTTGATTGCAGGATTCATAAAGTAAACTTTATTTTGTCAATGTTTGTCTGAGACAAATTCTTGTCTCCAACCAGCATCCATTTTATTGTAGGTACACTAACCAGCAGTTTCAAAATTTCTGTTCACAGGTTGATAACTTACTGTAATTTGGATAATGTCGATCCCGATCCCTTTCACGTTCCAAACGTTCTCTTTCAGCTCTTTCCTGTTCCAATCGTTCACGTTCTCGCAGTTCCCGTGACAAACTTATGTCTCCAAGACGTATTGGTCCCCCAGAGTTTAAATTCAGAACCCCATTTGGGCTCACGCGACTGCCTCCTAAAGGACTCATAGTGTGATGTCTTTTAGTTGGATGTAGGTTATCTATGTGGGGGTCAATGCCATTTTCCTTGGCTGGCCTATAAAAGATCAAACACATAAGATTGGTCTCTCATGGGCATATTGATTCATGTTTGGTAAAGAAAAAAGAATATTGTATTTTATAGTTCATTAACAATAAGACACATAAAATAAAATAAGTACTGTTTTGGTAACATTATTGTAGACAATATTTTGTCACAATCTTTATTTGATTTTAGAGTGACAGCTTGAGAGAAGTAACAAATGGAATTTTACTGATAAAGCTGTTCTACTTCTTGCTATTTTCAACATTCTTACTGTTAAGAATATAAAATGCAGAGAGTTTATTTACACATTTTTTTTTCTTAAGGCTATTTTTGTTACCTGAAAGCATGAAGAAATTTCACCTGTAATTTGCTCTGATCAAATTAAGTCTGTGATCTTTGATATCAGCTTACCAGACAAGACTAAAGTGAGATGAAGACTTACCGGTCAGGTGACCGTCTCTTGCCATTTTCATTCAAGTCAGATGAGAGGGAGTCGTGTGATTCAACGGGCGAATTTGAAGTATCAAAGAGGATGTGTTCATTCTGAGCTAAATACTGCTGAGGGGTCTGTTTGGCCATGCGAGCACAATGCAACAATTCACGTTGAAGCAAAGGAAGATTGGCCTAGAAGAATGTGGAGAAAAAAGAAAGAAAATTAAGAGGAGGAGAAAAAATTTTTAAATTAAGAAATCTTATCTTTTTTTTTTTTTTTCCATTTATTTACTAGTTAACAAAAAATCATGAAATAATCTTCACTCAGCTGACAAAGCAGAAAATACTTGTCAAAAGAGACATTTTAGCACAAGGGAGGTAACTTATAAACAAGTGATTTGTAAAAAATATTCCATTACATATGGCTAAGTTGCTTTAAATAAAAATAATTCTTTTTATTTTTTTTTTAAAGAAAATAGCACAGGAGGCATTTTCTTAGTAAAAAGACTACCAAAACATGAAATTATACGTGAGAAAGACAGACATACCAGCACCCTTCTTTTTTTGAAACTACTAACAGTAGAAAAATTTTCTTTTTAAATAATAAAAAAAAAAAAAAAAAAAAACCCACTGTACTTTCATACACACCTAATATAATTTACAAATATTTTCAGAAGATACAATCAATCCAAATTTCTTTATATGGAGATTGCTGTTCAGAAGTTCCAATAACATATCACTTACCTTAAGAAATGGTATAACAAATGGTCGAAGAGGAAAATTTGTGGCTTCTTGTAATTTGGAATGGAACTCTTCAATAGAAAGATGTGAGTTCTGTATAAAAAAAAATATATATATATATATATATATATATATAAATTTAATTCCATGAAGATTCTTTGAATGAGCCAATATGTTAAAACAATTAAATAAAAAATAAATTACTGGACTCAGATGAGAGAAGGTCTCTTAGTTAGCATTCATAAATGGACCTCTTTATTAAGGAAAACATCAAATTGATAGTAAACATACAGGTTGCCAAATTGGGTTACTTTTAAAATGTCATGTATTTCATACATGATAAATATATATATATTACTGTAAGGTTCATCCTGTATAAACCCCAGAGACCATTCAAGATATATGGCTACATTAAAAGGCAATTTGTGCAGATAGGAGGGGGGAAGATAACGGCTAAACCTAAACTTGAACAGGTTAAGATTGTAGTGACCTTGAGAGATGGTTCCACAGAGCAGTGGTTTGCAGGAAGAAGATATGGAACTTAACTTCTCACTGATGGAATATGGAGGGAATGTGAGTGGTTTGCTACTATGTAAGTGGCATGGCGTGTCCCTGCTGCGAATGTTTGAATTGGCAGAACCAGGGAATGTAGTTTATCTGAGTATGGATATTAATTAGAAAAGCATATCATTCAGTAGTTAAGAAAAGAAAAAAAAAAATGGATAAATTTCTTTACAAATTTACTACTCTAGTACTTCATCTATTTGCTACTTTCAGCAATTCAGATCTAGCAATTGTGGTAGGCTATATGAAATATTGTATATAACTTCGAAAAAGTGTCATTAACATTCTAAATATTGTCTTACAATTAAACCTGTTGTGTGATTTAGTTCAAATAGAAATCATGTATTACAACCATTTAATAACATTCTTGTAGTAAGAGGAAGTTTCGATCCCATGGAATCTGAAGCTGAAAAGTAAGATCTAAAAACTTTAAACATTTTACAGTAAATTGTATTCTATTGTGAGGAAGAAAAAAACAAAAATCTTTAGTATCAACAGAGCATTACAAAGGAAGTATAGGCTTTTTTTTGCTTTGAAAATAAGTATGAAAAAAGGACTGTATTGTGCAACTATAAGAAAATAGCAATGGGAGTTTCAAATCCAAAAATAAATAAAAAATCCAGGATCATAAATCAAAATCTGTATCTAAAACTTACAGCACACAACTACCTTCTTCATCCATGAAGAACCAGGAAATCCACTCGCTATCCAAAGTAGCCTTCTTTTGTTGGGGGAAGAAAGGGTGAGATTGGTTGAGACTAGTAGGTAAGTGCAAACAATTATCCTATTTTGAGGCCTATTAAAGTCAGCCCGATCTTGATTCTGATTTCTAAAGTAAGACTTGGTTTTCTCATTCATTACCACAGCAACCAATCTTTGGAATAACAATTACTGGTTAAATATAAAAAGATGAAACTAAATTATAAAGTAATGCTATAAGTATATGCTAAACTATAATTTGCCTTAAACTCATGATGGTTAGTTAGCATGTCATTAATCAGTGCATTGATAGTAACACAGACACAAGACCTAATTTCAGAAGGCAGTGGGCTAACTGGGTAAGCAAAAAGAAATGCTTGGAAAAGAAAGTGAAATGAGTTATGATAAATATATCAATGAATAAACAAATAACCAATTGTTAGTGCTTCATTATTTTTTTCTCATCTTTTTACTTTATAAATACTGAAATCTGATTGGCTGATCAACTGTCTGATACCCGCACATGTGTTGTTGTTGTTGTTGTTGCTGCTGCTGCTAACTGTCAGTCAGCCAGCCAGCCAATCAGATTTCAGCATCCGCAAAATAAGGAAAAAAAATGTTAGCAGAGGCAATTGTGCTGTAGACAGATGTTGAGCAGATGTATGAGTGGATGGCATTAATAAGAAGTTCTGCAGAGAGAAAAAGAAAATGAATTTGTAGAGAAGAAAAAAAATCAGCTGTCATCTATTGCTTGGCTTATTTACTTAAAGCTTGGAAGGACAGCAGAATTTTGCAATTAGAATGGAGAACCAAGAAAATTGTCTAAATAGACAGAGGAGGAAGAAAAAGAGAAGAGTGGCTGTTTGTCCAAATATCACACTACACCATTGTTTACCAAAATTCTTCTGATATAAGGACCCTAAACTTTTGTATTTTAAGTTTCCTTTATTTCATCTACAAAGATAGCTCACTCTGGGCAGAGAGAGAAGAGTAGGGTGCAGAGATTTAGAATAAATAAATAAATAAACAACATCCAATCAAAGAACTTTTTTCTTTAATTTATTTCTTGCTATACCCATGCTAGTTGACACAGAATAATATTTTTTGCATTAGCACTAAAACACAGACTGCCTATTTTTAATTGTATATGAATAACACTGTTACATAACCTTGTTATATAGGCGGGGTCTGTTAATAAACACAAAAAACATTCTAAACAGGAGATTGGCCAAGTAAATGTGCATTGTGACAACAAATTCTGGAAAAAAAAATAAAATAAAATAAAAATGAGTGTGAAAATTGTGTTCCTGTCAATGCTAAAAATCACATGATAAACAGAAGTGTGAAGTGAGCACAATTCAAAGGATATAAAGGGAAACATGTCAAGGATTTGAAATTGAATTCAAAGGAATTTTAAACAAATATTAAAGCATCCAACTGATAAATTCTACATTTCTGTTTAAGATTGAAATCTATAAAAAATCTCAATTGTATTCATATTGCTTATATTATGCAAAAGTGACCGGCCTTATCTTGTTCTAGTTTTAAATAATGAGTCAGCATCAAGAAAACATTAGATGTTATTAGTATCATCGGCAAAAACTTTAAAATTATACAAATGATTCTATAATCACCACCTCAATATTACAATACAAACATTTCATTTTATAGAAGACAGAATATCTATGTGGGTAAAAGTTAAATTTTTGTTCAATGAAGGATTACTTAGAAAGTCAACAAGAGTTCAACTGTATGGAAACTACACTGTCATATCCATTAATCTTTCAGTTACTACTTTCACTAGAAAGAATCAGTTCTAATACATAGAATACACAAATCATTTAAATATTTCATCATACATATGTACAGCTCTCTATTCAGGTATATTTTGAAAACTGAATATAAAAACTCAGCTTTATAAGCAAGTGAGATCCTAATATTGTTATACACCAAATGATTGATAACATGAAAACTACCAATCTTACATATAATTGGTACAACCAAAATTTGAACAGAAAAAAAATAGCTAAGTAGGGCACAACTAGCAGATAACTTTGTCGTAGATAGAAAAGAATTTAGAGCATTCTATGATGTTATTAAATTGTGCTGTCAATTAATTGATGAAATATACATACACAATTTCTTTTTTTCACAAGTGCTGTAAAAATTTGACATTTATATTTAAAGAAATTTGCAAATGCATTGTACTTTAAAGAGGAGTGTTAAAAGGTTCTCAGCTCAAATCACCTTTGCTAAAACCAGTATTGTTTGGTCATTGTAATACTGAATTTAGGAAGGTGTTTCAGTTGAGAACTTTTTAATACTACCTTGTACATAACATCAAAAACTTTGTTACTCTGTATTTTTTGTCTACATGTTCAATATATCCTTAATATTAAGTAAAGATAACAATTCATCTTTTACAGAGTCCCATTTCTATAAAGAAAAAACAAATGAAACCTATTCTATTTTACAAGTTTTTATATGTAACTAATCACAATTTAAGAAATTCTTGAATACAATATTTCTTTTATAAACATATAGTATTCCTATTATGTCATCAAAAGGAGTCAACTACATAGGTCTGGGTAGTTCACCTGTCTTTTGTGTAATTGACTCTCCTGGCAACATGAAAAGTGTTACACACATACACGTGTATGTAGGTGTGTGTGTGTATATATATATATATATATATATATATATATATATATATATATATATATATGTATGTATGTGAGAGAGTTCTCAACCAAACTAAGAAGTGATTTAACAAAAAAAAAACAAAAAACGTTTGATCAGATTATTGGAAGCTGAGTTAGCCATGAAAATTATCAGTACCACTTCATACATATATCTAAAAAAGTTTATCTACTGAGCCAATTACAATTTAAGAGTTCCTTTAATACACTATTTCTACTCCATCATCAGGTTTCACTACATAAATGAAAAATTTACTGCAAGTGTGTGTGTGTGTGTGTACAAATATACACATTACATTCTATATACATACACATGACACAAAATTATATAAATTTTATTGCTGGTACAAAACTTTACAATAAAATGGAATAGGAAATACGAAGAAAAAAAGATTTTTAAATGGAAACCACTTGGAAGCCAAGTACAAAATCATTCTGCTTCCAAAGAGAAGGTTTCATAGATTGAATGTATATGGCCTACAAAATTTTCAAGTGGTAATTGGAGTGGGACGTACTCAAGATGGAAAAAGAGTCCACACTAAAATTAGCAGCATAGTTGCGGTTATTTATAAGGTGCTCCGCAATAGAAAACTCATATGTATTAGAACATTTGAGGGTAAATAATTAGTTTTGGATTTTTGTAGGCATGTGTTGCCTAATCCTCCCATCCAGCCTTTGAGTCATTCTTCCTACTTAGTGTGAACTGCAACTACATTTAAATGAATAAATCAGGGAACTATTATGGTGTAGTGGAAGAATGTCTTTTCACATAAATGTAAGGATAGGTTTAGCAGAAAAAAGACAATGTGTGTTGGCAGCAAAATTACATTGTTGAACTGCCAAAGAAACCTGCTTAGCATATCTGTCACTGATGCTGCCTCGCCAAGGAAGATGTAGATACACTGGACATCTCTGTACAGGAGAAGGTTTAATTTTATTAAATTCTGAAATTTTATTCTTAATGATGGATTGAACAATGTCATATGGATAGACATTGTTACAGAGTAATAGTAATAAACCTGATCCCATTGTCCAGCTTAGTTTTAGAACAGATCATTAAGACCCTGTGTGTAAGAGTCTTAAATTGATTTTTTGTTTTATGGGACAAAAAAAGTCCCAACAGGTGTATAGACCAATAAAGGTTGGTTTTCAGTAAACTGAAGTAAGAAAACCCGAAGAAGTTCTACTAATTTGGACATCAGGAAGAGAAGAATTTGTTTCCTTATCTCATATAAACTTAAAAGCTGTATGAATATTGTTAAGGGACTTATAAAAGAGGTCTGCTTCATTCTTCTTATTAAAGAGACTGAAAGTGTCATCTACATAATGAAAATAAACACTGCATGGAAGTCTACAAAGATATTAGCTGTGTCTCAAAGAGGAACCCATGGAGACTCCATCAATTTGCCTATATCTATATATTAACCTCTATTTAGAGGTTTGAAACCAGTTAGCTGGCCCATTTTTCATTTTTTCTTTCAATTGTCCATCATGTCTGATAATATAAAAAAAAAGTTTTGTCTTTTTTATATACACACACACACAAAAATATTGTAAGATTAAGAAAAAAAAGGTAAAAAAAAGAAAATGGGACATTCAAATAAGATGATTGGTGACATCACTGGTTGACAGATGAGGTGCAATGAGGAAGTTTCAACAAAATCTGATAAAAAGGCCATTCTACTCAACAGCTGATTCTGTAAGTTAGTTGTTGTATCACCTGTTAGTGCCTACTTTTATTAATTTTAGCTTAATCTGGTACAAGACAACAAATGTTGAGCATCAGTGAGAATAAGTGTTCTGTGTGTCTGCTAACCATTGGCTTGCACCAATGTTACAATCAGTAAATTGTTATTGACTTGAGCAAATATATTTTTAAAGCAAACTTTGATCAATGCAAAGTAAAATAATATATTACACAAAATGAAGTCTTATTTTTAAATAGGACTTTTTACAGATTCTTTTTAAAACTAAAATGCTTCTTTTTTTTCCAGTTATACTTTATGCAAAAAAGCATAGAATTTATTGTCTAAATTGGTGAAGAATGTTACTATGACAGCAGAGTTTTATGATTAGTAGAAATGTTGATATTGTCATTAAAATTTAAGAACAACTGATCCCTTTTGAGAAACAGGAGTCAAATAATAGAAATTCAAGAATAATAAAAATCCATAGAAGCAAATGATCAGGAATAGCAAAACTGTACTACATAACATTATACCATTATTTATATTAAAGTAGTACAAGACTGATAGAAATGGGCTCTTTTGAAGAATTTAACAGACTGATAAACACTTCCTGAACCTCTGTTCTCTGCTCTATTAACTGTGCTTTACCAACAAGTGCATATAATTTTGTGATTTTTTTTTTTATTTCTGGTTTTGCTTATTAGTTTTTGCAATTTGAATATTCAAAAGAACATGTGTTAATCATAAAATTGGCAGAGTTAAAAACCAAAAGTTTTTTTTGGCTGGCAATGATGTTCCCATCTTGAAAAGTCATTGGTCAGCTGAAGATTTTTGGCAGAAGGAAGATGGCAAGGAGGGAGGTGGAGAGAGAGAGAGAGAGAATCTGCTGGGAAGAAGCCAACACTGATTTTCTCAGAATAAATGTGTTCAACTTTGGAACACATCTACTACTACTACTTCCTCCCCCTGTACGATGTAATGGCCATGTTTGTAAATAGTTGACTCTGTGCCCCTATTTTCAGATGGACACAGAACATGCTAGGAATAGTATTGGCACATACACAAAATTGGAAGGATTTTAAAACAGAAAGCCCCTCCCCACTAGCCAATCAGTAATAATATTGCACTTCCTTTAAAATGGCAACAATTTTTAATAACCCTGAAGAACATCTATTTTATATGACAGAGATGCACTTAGATAGATGGTGTCATTTCCAGTATATCACCCAGTGTGGGTAATATTAATTGATCAGTCAACAGTTTCCATGTCAGAACCATGTGCTAGTTTTCAGTAAATAAACAATAATTTCTAAGTGTGTGAGGAAAGGTTTTTATCTAGACTAACTCTGTCTTTAGGTGTCATCGGGATTTTAAAAGTATAATCTTGTGGTTCTTATCTACAAGAAGTTCTATCATCTGCTCATTTTCAGAAAGGAGATAAAATGAACCTTCACCAGCCCAGCATTCTCATAATTACTCATCCTCTGAATTTTGAACATCTAAACCCAAATCTGTTCACAATCCAAACATTCAGTTACCTCCCATATACATCGACATTAAATATTGATTTTGGGGACTTAATTATATGACAGAGAGAGAGAGAGTATATGTAATACACGCACAAGAAGTAGTTGCTGAAAAATTCTCAGCAAAATACAAACAAACCATTTTTATTTTTTGAGGGGCTGAGAAATTTTCAGGACTGTGTGGGTGCGTGATATTATAGAAGAATAGATTAAATATTTATTTTTACGTTCAGCCAAATTATATCAATAACCTTTGTTTTCCTACCTATATTTTTTGTTAAAATTTTAACATCTAGTGAAGTCAAGTGCAAAAAAAAAAAAAATCCTTTACTTTACATGTTGGAAGAAAAAGGAAAGTTATATAAGCCCCACCCACCAAAAATGCATTTGTAAAGAATTAATTATCCATTGCACTATTTGTATATTTTATTAAAAGTTATCATCATTTCAAGAATTGGTCAGATGTATGTATTTATTTCTTCCATTTATAGTTTGCACAGAGAGAGAGAGAGAGAGAGAGGTTACAGCTCTAAAAACGACCAGAGAATAGGTCACAGTTGAAACATAATGATAACAACAAAAAGAACAAGTGCAATATATAACAATTTTGGAAATCTCAATAACAGCACGTGACAACTTAAGTCACCTAAATAGACCAAAATTTCTGCACGTGACAACTTAAGTCACCTAAATAGACCAAAATTTCTAACAAAATCTCTTCCTGTTTTTGTCTCATCTTATCTCCATTGAGTAAAAGACATTGATCCTCTTTACATAACACAACAAAGCTGGAGTTAACATGTTCAAATCTGAGAAAGTTAGAGATGGAAGAAGAAATACTCCATTTGTATTACTGAAAGTTCATAGATGAAAATTTACAAAAGAATTGACACATACTTTGAAGACAATAAGTGAAGGGTAACAGGAATGAAAAGGTTTCAAAATTTTATTTATGCAAAACTAATTGATCGGAAAGGAATAATAGGAAAAAATAATAACAATCAGAATCTTAACCAAAAGAGTATAAATATGCCATCTTTCAACAATAGAATATTCTTAGAATAAAGCCATTTAGACTGTTGGAGGTTGATAATAATAAAACATAGGAACTGGAATCAATATTATTTCTGTTTATATCAAACTTAGCACTGATATTTTGAAACACAAACCTTAGGAAGAAGAATATTAAAAAACAAAGAAAGAGCCTCAGTGAAAACATGTCTAAAGTAAATTCCAAGGTACAAGTAGTCAAGCCAGAATAGTGATCACCTGCAAATTATGTAAACAAAGTTAAAACATGAGGGGTGAAGGAGTGTCAAATTTGGTAAATATCCAGTCAAACCCTAGATAGATAAGGTGAGAGGAGATACACATTTTGTAAATACACAATTGCTCATATACAAATATGCAAGTCACTTCAGAGGCTTATTTCAATGCAGAGCTGAGGAGTTTTGGTTAAAAAAATAAAATAATTTACAGAAAACTAAGTTCCCTTTTACAAAAACTTCTACTAAACAAGATCTATTAATCCTAGTAACAATCTCCAGTTAAAAACATTTAGTTGTTCCAGCAATACTAATAGATTTTACCTATAACCTACCTCTGATCCCATATTTGGTTATAGAAGAAAAATATCTTTTATTAGACAGACACATCAGTATGGGGTTTATGTAAAATGATGTCAAACAATTTTTGAGCAAATATTTTCTTTTTATTAATCATGGCAATTAATTTGATTTCTAAAGAAAAACTAGCAGGTTTTGATTTATTCTGCAGAAAAAAAAAAAAAAAAGTTACTTACCACAAGTCCCAAAACCAGAGTGCGTACACGTTCCCCAATGTCTGGTGATATATCAGATCCAAACTGTTGTAATGTGGTCAGGAAACGCTTCAATTTACTGAGCTGTCTGGCCCCACAAGCAGGGGGTAGTTGTTGATTGGATGCCGAATTAGGCAGAGCACTGGGAGGGGAGGGTGTACGGCCATTAAGGCCTAAGGGAGAGTGGGTACCATTCATTCCTGAAAGCACAGAGGAAAAATACTTATATAATAAAAATATACAAGTTGTAAGATTAATATTAAGCTGCAGAAATGAGTTGATAAATAAGAAAACAAATTTTCATTAAAGACATTTCTGTATAAGCAAAAGTTTTGTGACTTGTAATTTTGTATATTAACATAAAACACATACACAATCTCCTTAAGAAAAAAACAGCTCCAAAGTGGTTAAACTTTAAACTATGTGCAACTCATTTTTTACTCATTTACACAAATTTATTAAGTACATAGGATTCATTATATATATATATATATAACACACACATATCTGAAGATCGCATTGATATGTGAAAGTGACAGTCACTGTGCAGTGTTGATCCCTATGTTCACTGTGTTTGTGTGTTGGAGTTTGTTCATTTACTGTAAATTAACATGACAAATGACCTCAGGAAGTTAAAAGGGAAGTAATTATTTGAATTCTTAAATTTTTAATTATCACTGAAATGATGACATATATGCTGATATAAAGGAAATTTTAAAAAAATAAATAAAAATGCTAACACTTGAACCAGAGCCCTACAGCTTTTATTATAATTCTGCTCTATGGAAATCTGTTTTATATAAGGATAAGTATTGCAATTTATGTCTATTATTAAATACCTTACAACAAATAAAGCAGAAACCATATATTGAAAGCTCAACCAAGAAAAATTTAGTTTAATAATAATTGGGATGTTATTAAGTAAAAATACAGATTAACCTCATTGGTTTAACACTCCTTCACTGTCTTTTGAACAGGAATAAAAGTTTATCCCTTGTTTCCTGTTTAGGATTGGGTTTCTGGTTTCTTCTAAAGTATTCACATTCTCTTGCACTCCCAGTAGACCTTTGCATCTTAGTGGCATTATTGCCTTACTTGGGGTGAATACATTAAAAAAAAATGTACATCAGAAACAGAACTTGAAGTTAGTTTCTCAAACAATGATTATTGTTAAAATATTCTGCAACTTGAGGTTGTTAATTTGAATAGTTATGAAGATTATTTTGAAATGATTAATAGAAAAAAAAGAAAAATAATTGAGAATTTTACAAATGTCTTCATTCTCTTTAGGTGATAGTTGAGGAAGAAGAAATTGATCAAGGAAGTTTAATAAACTATTATTGATATTTGTGCAATGAACAACAAATGATACTTGTGCCAGGTGATAAATGAACAAAGATGATAGAACCAGCTGTTGAACCAAATTTATTAGTTGAATTTTCAATACTTGAAGATATGATAGCACCTGATACCACAGCCAAATCATATGGTAAAAGAGCAACAAAAGCTTTGAGTTTGAAGCAAACAAAACATTTCAAAAACATCAATTATATATTTCATGAGATTCATATATAATAATAAAAAAATACTAATATCACTAGTATCACTCCCTCACTATATTTTTGTATAAGAAAACATTTTTTTTGAAAGAAAGAGAAATATTTTTAATTCCCAAGACAAATATTTTCAGAAGAGAAGGGGTGGGACAGACAGTATGTATTTAATAATCGTCTAAAAAAATACTGTATTATTGTTACATAAAACCTTAAGATATACAGTTGGGAAAAACAGGCATGGAAATTGTGCAAAGGACACAAAAATGAAATAAACAATAAAAGTGAAATGGCAATATTTTTTTTTAAAAGAAAATAATGTATGTGTTTATAGGGAAGAGAGAGAATTGTATTTATCTGAATTATAAGGCTTATTATTTGGCAATTTTCACAAACCTTTACAAAAATAAATAAATAATGCTACCCCAAAATCATTTTGAATGAATGAATGAATGAACGAGTAAAAAGATGCTATAGAGAAAAGAAAAAGAATACAACAATCATTTTTTCTTCAAATAAGAGACAAGCCAGAGTGAAAGATGAAGAGAATTAGACAAATAATAACCAATCTAAAAATTAAATAATAAAGATAAGTCATCAGCACTGTGTGTGTGTGTGTGTGTATATATATATATATATATATATATATATATATATATATATATATCAAGGTGTTTAGAAAAATAATCATTATTTATATGTATGTGGGAGGATGTAAGGGCTGTTTCTTTTTATCCCTGTGACTCTTTCAATTTTTTTTTCTTCTTTTTACCTTTCAATTCTCTTTGAGTGGAACCAACCAAATACGAAGATCAGGACCAGCAGCAGATATGACAGTAGCAGAAGTAGAAATAGCAGCAGCAGCAGCTGCAGTGCTAGTGGTGGTAACAGTATTTAGTAATTGGAGAATGACAGAAGATGGCAATAGAAAGAAAAAGTGAGAAAAAGAGGAAAGTGTGATTGGTAACTAACTGCTTCTCTGGCTCCTTGTACAACAGCTGGTTGATGGAATGGCTACAGATGGCAGGTAGACACATTTCCAGTCTAGCAAATATACAGTGACCAGCTGTGAGATGATAGCAAAAAAGAGGAGTGAAGAAAGAGAGACAAACACAATGATAGTATAGATCAAATATAAGATAGAATTTGTATATAAATACATTCTGCAAGTAAAACATTATCTTAATTCTACATGTGGAGAAAGGAAGAAAAATGTGTGCTTACTCCTGACAAAATATTTTAATACAGAAAGTGATACTGTAAACTGAGGGAGGGGAGTAAATGCATACAAGCCAATTTATATGTAGACATATAAATTTATGGAAGTTAAATTATTGCCATTAATAACAATTTATCTTTGAAATTTCCCTTGAGAAAACTTCAAGCAAGCTTGTTTTATAAACAGTTTGGTTATCAAAAAATTAATTAAAATTTGTTGTCCGTTCGTTATTCTTTTGTGTTTGTAAAAAAAGCAAAAAAAAAAAACTAACAACAAATGCTCTTATTTCGTTAGCAATATAAATTCCGTAAACTAAAAAAAAAAAAAAAATGCTCGTAATAAAATAAGCATCTTTATCGGTTTCCAAGCATAAAATGTTAAAATAAAAAAAAAAAAATACGTATTATCAAGAGAAAGTCTGCAAAATACAATAATAATCCATTTGAAGAAAAAAAAAAAAAAAAATGTGTATCAGTGCCCTGCTAAACAAACGTCGTATAGTTACCTCCCTTGGACCAAAGCACCCGCTAACCGTTTTATTAAAACTGTTCCAAATATATAGCAGGTGATATTCGTTTTCTATTTGCTTTTAGAATTTATGATTACATTTGAATATTGTAATTAATCTTCAATTGATATGCTGCATGCTTGCGAAAATTATTAAAACAAAACACCTGGAAGAAAGTCATAAGCATACTGTAAAGTGTATGCAAAATAAAAATAGCTTCAAAATTTATTTTAAAACAAAATTCAACGTCAACGGTACCATGAAAAAAATTATCGTTCAACTTTTTAAGTTTACATTTATGATAGAATAGGCAATAAAATAATTATTGAAAAAAATAACCGATTTTTAATAGGAAAAGAATATCTGAGCAATTATAAATTAAGTAAAAGTAGGTATTAAACAACATTTTTGTTTAGAGAATAATTGTTTTTCTCGTATTTCATCAAGCACTTGGAATTCTAGTTTCAAGTATTTTTTATGAAAACTATACATAAGTAGTTTTTTTTTGTTGGCCACTGTTTCTGATCTGTATTGTAAACGTTTTTGGAAATTTTATAGAAAACTTGTTGATGAATTAACTTTTAACAAAAGGCTGCATTTAACCTAGAGAGAGAGAGAATGGTTTTGTCGTGTGAAATCCCTTAATAAATTTCTTTTAATCAGTAAAACCAGGATGAATTACAATGGATGCTGAAAGTTTCTTGGCCAACCCATTTCTCAAAATCTGATCAAATATTTTTTTCCTTACATTCTGGAAGAGGTTCTTGGGAAAGAGAACTTTTCAGCACCCATTCATAATTAAAATAAAGATTTTGGTTTTCCTCATGACAATTCTGTGAGAAGCTGACAACCTTTTGAAGAAATAGAAATCTACATATTGGCTGTTCCATCATGGAACAATTAGGAAAAAAAAAGTTCTAATTATGCACATTTTTCTGATTTTTAACAAATGGTCAATTGACACACACACACACGTTTACAAAAACGTTTCGGTTTCAATCAATCACATTTTCTTTGCAGTCAAGATTTTGTTCTTAGAAACATATTTGATGAGTTGTACATGTAATTTTGAAGCATATTTAAAGAGTTTTTTTTTCGATTTTATTATGCAAACCAAAGAAGTGATTAATGGAAAATGTTCTTCTGCAAAGTGAAAAAGAAAATCTAATTAAAAAAAAAAAACCCCAAAAACAAGAGTGCTGAACTGTTAAGTAAGATCTTGTCTCCTATATGACAGTGAATTAAATACTCTCCTCACCAGTGAAAAAGAAACTTGAAGCAAAAGAAATGTTTCTACAGAAGGATGCTGAGAATACCATGGACGGAACATATTAGCAACAAGGAAGTTTTAAGGAAAATGAGAACAAAAAGTACATTTATAATTAGAATCATAAAGAAAGTTGAACATAATGAGAAAAGGCGGCTTAGAGAATCTGAATGCCACAGTACATTGAAACAAAGACTGAGAGGTATAGTGAGGGGACAAAAAGCTTACAGCTACAAATGATAGGAAATTGTAGAGAGCAGTGATTGTTAATGGCCTGCAGGGACACAGCATATAAGACCTAACAAAAATATAGATGGAATATTAAAAAGGTAAGATTTAAATCCCCAAATAGATAAATTTAGATTTTATAGGAACATTATTTTATTTATTTATTTTGCAATGTAAATTACAAAGCATTTACATTTTGGAAGAACCCAAAGAATTTTGTAGACAATTTCAAGATCGGCAACCAAAAATACTTTTAACACCTGAGTGTGTTTTGAAAATTATCATTCAAAAGAAAAAAAGGGAAAAATCTGAATGTTGTAATGAGATAGAAAAGAATACAGTAGACGTAAAAACCTCTACCCATTTTTTAATTTTTTAATGTTTGAGAAGACAAGTTCACAGTTGAAGGAAACTATTTTTTTTTT